CCATTCTAGCCCTAGTCTGTTTTCGGTCTTGGTCTTGGTCTCGACCAGTCTTGGTCTTGGTCTCGCCTTAGTGTGTCTTGGTCTTGGTCTTGGACTTGGTCTTGGTCTTGGTACCCTCAAGTCTCAGCAGTGTCTTGGTCTTGATACCCTCCGGTCTCGGCAATGTCTTGGTCTCGGTTTAGGCGGTCTTGACTACAACACTAGCTGGATTCTGGGTATGTCTATACAGTCCAGATTGATATATTGTTGCTTTGGTAGTGCAGTAACTTATGGCGGGGGGGGGGACTTTTCTCATTCAGCAGTAGTGCAGGGCCGGTCAATCCTATGCGCAACATAAGCGGTCTCCTGATTTGGGGACACTGATTTGCCTGTCAATTTCACTTTCTCTCAGACGTGGGGCGCCGGCGGTGATGCTCGCCTAGGGCGCCACGTTAGCTGAAACCGGTACTGCGGTAGTGTTTAAGCTAAGTTAGCTAAGACGGTCTCACTAATGTTGTGAAGATCAGTTAATTACAAGCCACGGAAAGGTATTAGTCAGACAAATGTGGGTTGTCAGCTAAAAGTACAAGAGCGACTCCTTTAAAATACGGACGTCATCCATAACGGAGGCTCTACACGAAATTATATCATTTATAGACCTATAAATAATGTGCGGGTAGAATTCATATATCTTATGCATAGATCTTAATCCCTTTTTGTTAACGACACTCTCTGGCTGGTAGGTTCATTGTGGAAAACGTATAAAACGTCTCGTTCTGTCAAATTTCTATAAAGCTGTTTTTATCACTGTGAAACTGGCAGTAAGACCTTTCTGTGATTGGTCTGGCATAGTCATGCTGAAGCACCCGCGCTAATCCTCCACAGGGGATTTACTTCATCCACAAGATGGCGATATTGAATTTAATTTGTGATTTTGTGTTTACCAGACGTACTGTATTTTGTATTTTTTACTTTATGAGAATACATGTATGTAGGGACCTACATTTCTTATTTTTGTTCTTTCCAACCATGCTATGCCTGGCAAATTTTAATGAAACATAATATCAGCAGTAGATCATTTCACAAAATAATGTGGAATTAATACATTTAAACTAATCAGTCACCCATCCATCCAAGCACTTACCCAGAGCAGGACTGGGATACACACACACACACACACACACACACACACACACAGACAGACACGCACACACCCACCCACCCACCATCACACTCTATGGACTTTGGAGAGACTCATTCACTTGTTACTACATGTGTTTGTATGCAGCAAAGAGAAGCGGTTCTGGAGAATGGCTGGATGGATATTTCCTGGCACTCTATATACAACAGTTGTTATAGATTTGTGACTGAGTGGGGTACTGAATCCCCTGATTAAAGTAGACTTTTCTGCCACGCAGAAGGAGTCCTGAGCAAGCTGAGCTTGTCCGAGGTCCAGGACTTCAGAGCCGAAGTCTGGCTGGCCTCTTAGATAACGTAGCTGCAGCCAGTCGTACTGAGCGACGCCACCTGCATACTGGGCCGTCTTCCCACAAATCTCACCATCGCAAATGCACCCGCTTGTGCCTTTCTAGTGACAGTGTGATGCTTCTCTTTATCCTGTCCATGTGAGGGTACTGTGAGAATGACCATGTGCAAGAAACGCTCGACCCCTTAGGTTTGGCGGTGACCGTCGGATGGGGCGGAGCTGAGTGAGCGCCGTACAAATGGAAATAGTGTGATTCGGAGCCGGGATCATGGAGAAGGTGGAATGAAGTCAAACAGAGGGGGGGGGGAGGGAGGAGCAGGAGCGAGGAATGCGTGGGAGGTTACTGGTCCTGAGACTGGTCAGTTGGTACCCTATATGGACAAAAGTACTGGGACATGACTCCGAATCATTGAATTCAGGTGTTTCATTCAGACCCATTACCACAGGTGAATAATATCAACCACCAAGCCATGCAGTCAGGTTTACAAACATTTGTGAAAGAACGGGTCGTTCTGAAGAGCTCAGTGAATTCAAGCATGGTGCTGTCACAGGATGCCACCTTTGTAAGAAGTCAGTTTTTGAAATTTCTTCCCTGCTAGATATTCCACAGTGAACTGAAAGTGGTATTATTGCAACGTGGAAGCATTTAGGAACAACAGAAATTCAGTTTGAAGTGGCAAACCATGTAAAGTAACAGAGCGGGGTCTCTGAGTGCTGAGGTGCAAAGTGGATGACAGTCACCAATGCTCTGTTGATTAAGTAACTATTGAGTTCCAAGCTTCCTCTGGCATTAACTCCAGCACAAAAACTGTGCGCCGGGAGCTTGATGGAATGGGCTTCCATGGCCGAGCAGCTGCATGCAAGCCTCTCATCACCAAACACGATGCCAAGTGTCGGATGGAGTGGAGTAAAGCACACTGCCACTGGACTCTGGAGTGGAAACGTCTTCTGTGGAGTGATGAATCACACTTCTCTGTCCGGCAGTGATAGATAAGTCTGGGTTTGGCAGGTGCCAGGAGTATTGTGATGCCAGTTTGGTGGAGGAGGGTTAATGGTATGGGGGTGTTTCTCAGGGGTTGGGCTTTGCTCCATAGTTCCAGGGAACTCTTAATGCTTCAGCATACCATGACATTTTGGACAATTCTATGTTTCCGACTTTGTGGGACCAATTTGGGGAAGGCCCTTTGCTCTTCCAGTGTGACTGTGCTCCAGTGCACAAAGCAAGGTCCATAAAGACATGGTTGGGTGAGTTTGGTGTGGAAGAACTTGACTGTCCTGCACAGAGCCCTGACCTCAACCCCATCAAACACCTTTGGGATGAATTAGAACGGAGATTGTGAGCCAGGCCTTCACATCCAACATCAGTGCCAGAGCTCACAAATGCTCTTCTGGATGAATCGGCAAAAATTCCTACAGACACACTCCAAAATCTTGTGAAAAGCCTTCCCAGAAGAATGGCAGCTGTTATAGCTGCAAAAGTGGGACCAACTCCATATTGATGCCTGCGGATTTAGAATGTGACGCCATAAAAGTTCCTGTGGGTGTAATGGCCAGGTGTCCCAATACTTTTGTCCATATAGTGTATCTGAGCCACCGGAATCAAATATGGGGAAAACAACATAAATTAAGCAGGAGTCCTTATAGGGACAGGTGACCTTTACAAGATCCTTAAAATGTCATATTTATAGGGTCTCAACTCTATATAGTATTTTTTACACAATACAATAAACATAATTTGATTTCATAAATAAAATATTATTGGCCTTTCAAAGTAATCAAGTATAAATCGAATCTTAGAATCACAAAGGAAATCGTTTGATTTATGTGTAGAAAATTTGTCTCTGCTAGATCTGACATGAAGTAATTATGTTTCTGTTAGGTCTAATCGTTATTCCAACTTCAATCAGCATTCAAAGCATTGCTTTCAAAACTGGCCTGTTTTCAATCAAGAACTCGGAAAGATAATAATGTCTCCACAAGGTAATCCTGACCGCTGAAGCCGCTGCAGCCACTGAGGGCTGTGAAACGCCATCTATGCTGTAAGACTCCAACACGGTTTTATAATGTCAGTTTAACACTTATGCTTCAGAAAACACCGTTTTGTAAATGCGCATAATTATGGAATATATCTGTATGTTGTTATACATTAAATGCAATACAAATAACATAGGCTACAATATGTATATGCAGCTGTGAAACCGATAGCCTGGCTGATTTGAAAACAGAAATAGCCCGAAGGTCTAGGCAGAGATGAAATGGTGTTTTGATTCATTAGTGATAATATTGCTGGTGTGGTTTAGCCAAAGAAAATAAGCTCTGGTCAGTCATTCGTCTGACAAGTTTTCTGTGACACGTACGGAGCTGAAATTCCCGACAAATTAACAAATGCAGTATATTTCTGATTGTATATGAGTGTTTGGGAAGTGGACTGTGGGTCATCGTGCGTCGTTTCGGGTCTGTCATTCCCCGCTTATTATGGCGCGGCTTCAGACTAAATCCCGCATAACTATTCAATCATTTTTATGGACCAATTTATCCGATTCCACCAAAAGCGAAGCCTAATGACGGGGGCTGCGCTAACTCAAAGCCCAGAGTAATATTCCCCTTTCTGAAGCACGGTAAGTATTTCTCAAGAGCTATACATTAATATGTAGTCTTATTATATTGTTGTTCGCCTGACACTTTGATCCAAAGGCTTCATTTTTGCGTATTCACTTACAGGGGCGCTTTTCATTTGGAGGTATTCAGATCAAGCACCTCGCTAGAAAAAAATAATCTTTCCGGGAAATCTCTAAGCGCCGCGCTTATTGTCTCCCTCTTAATAATATTAGTTTCGTATCATTTAAAGTTTCCTTTTTCTTTCGTGACACTGGGTAATATGCGGTCGGGGGGGCACAGCACCGGGGGCTCTTACATGCCATGTGCATAACAGCTGGCTAATGAACTCAGACGCCCCGATTTCTTTGTTCATAAAATCTGGCTTTTCCCGCAACACTTGTTTCTTTCGCTTTTTCAGACACAATAATCTACTTTGCCGTGGTGGAGCGCCTGCCTGCGGCTTCATTGCAGCCGCGGCTTCCTCGCTGAGGATCCCCGCATCGGGCTGCAGAGACCGGCAGGTGTGCACTTTCTTACTCCAGCCCTTTTGCTGGTGAGCAGCTGCAACCTGGAACAGCATCGCCGAGGAGCATCGCGGGCTGCAGAAGCTTCCCGCAAGTTCCTGAAGTAATCGGGGGTTTGGAAGTTTCCACCACATCGCCATAGGCGCCGCCGATGAGAAGCACTTTCCATTTCAGGCACGATGAAAGCTCCCTTTGTAGGAGTTATTCTGTATGGGATTACAGGTAAATGGGTTGGATTAAAAACTGGGTTAGGTCATCCTGCCTTCATCTCAGTCGGAAAATAGCCCGTTAACCATTCATTTGTACTCAACATGCGCTTGGACTAAAGCCGTCTCGCAGTTCTCCAGCTGGAAATAATTGAACTTTATTATGTGCAAATCCTTTGCAACGCTTGTTGAAATTCCAGCGGTTTTATTTTTAACGAGGGTTTAAAGGCTGATGAATTTGTCTGTGAGTTTGATTTGCCGTCTCAGTACACCAACAGCCCGGGATGTGTATTTATTGCTGGGTAATGCAGACCGACACACAGCAATTCAGATCGATAGTTTTATTTTATTGGTCCCCACTGGAATTTCCACCTGGAAAGTAAGTTGTGTTTTGAATGACATTTTAATAATTAATGAGCATGTGTACATCTCACATAAAATGCCACGCTTTTAAGACTTTACAGTGTAAAATATAGTCATACTTTATGAATTAAGGAGTCTCACTCGTTAGCGAGGTGTAATTAAAATCAATGTTCCGGTTTCAGAACATTTTTAGGTAGTTGAACTGGTCTGCTGGATTTTCTTAGACACAGTAGGTTTACTTTAATTTCATGATAACGGCTACTTTTGGTATTCTTGCCAGACTAATTAATGCCACCTAAAACCGGCTGAAATTACAACCCATTATGAATTTACAGGGGAATTCTTAGTATAGGACAGAGTCAGTATGCTCTCAGAAAAAGGGTAAAAATGTCTGCCTTTGCTTGTCACTGGGGCTGTACCCTCAAGGGTCTGCGAATTATACCTTGAGGGTACAGCCCGAATGACAAGCAAAGGTGCAAATCTTTACCCTTTTGTCTGAGCGTATAGTACTTCTGGTTGATTTTGCTGTTGATCTGTTAATCTAACTCTGTGCTACGTTGCAGATTGGATTCTGTCGGGAAGCATGAATTTGCGAGAGGTGGGGGGCAGTGGGGAGTGTCATGACATGGGGCAGGGGGTGTGGAGTACCATTGCCAGAGCCATCCGCCAGCTGCATTGAGCCGCTGTGCTGGCAATCGATGGGCTATCAGTGATGGGCTATCAGATTTTCATTGCTGTTATCACGGCTGTCCTCTTACGCCAGTGCTGAACATGCTGGTGTCACTCAATAGTGAAACATTTCTAATACACTGGCAACAGAATCTTTGAGATTAACCCTATTTTATGTCAGTGTAAAATATAGGCATTTCTTATGAATCCATTTTTCATTTTATTATGTTAAGCTGTTTGCTCATATTGTCTGTACCTGGAGAAGAACATTAATCCAGGGGCTTAACGTTCTCTCCGGTTATCAAGGTAATTATTAATACATATTAGCTACTACTATTAACACTATTAATAATATTAGCATGCATTTCTGATGAGTGCTTTATATAGGGCTTGAATGAGAGTCCTTAGTATCAGCTAAAAATTACAGTACCAGTAAAAATGTCCGTACACACCTGCTTTTAATGCATTTCTCTTTATTTTATTTATATTATTCGCTTTATAGAAAAAAGGCAAAAAAAGTAATACATATCAAATATTGCAACAACCAAGAAAAGTGTTCAGCATCTCAAAATTTTCTCCAATTTCAAACTCTCCAAATAGCTCCCTTTTGCTTCGATGACATCATTGCAGACTCTTGGCATTCTTTCAGCCAGCTTCTGGATGTAGCCGCCTGTAATGCTTCTCCAACAAGCCTGAAGGAGTTTCCACAAGGTCTGGGCACCAGTTGGCTACCTTGCTGTTACTCTTTGATCCAAATAATCCCAAAGCAGCTCATTAGGGCTCAGTTCAGGGGGTTGTGGGGTGAACATCATCTGCCACTGCACTCCATCTCTTTGCTTGTTCGGAAGATAATACAGTGCACTTATGTATTCTCAAGGTGCGCTGAGGGTCATTATCTTGTTGCACAACAAATTACTTTTGTCAGGTGAGTCCGGAATTCATTCATACTGTATTTGCCCTGATTGCTGCTCTGAAAGGGGAGCTTGCCGTGCTGTGATTTGTAAAGTAATCAAACCACATCTTAGCTGCCATTTGCTATCATGAAGACTTTTCCTTAAGAAAAATTTTAATCGTACTCTAAGGTACATGCATTAAACAACCACCGATCCAGCTGTGAATCAGGGCCACAGTCACAGGGACATATTAAATCTTTATTAAACTTCCTTTACATTTCCATTTGAAATGGAAAAGAAATTTGAGTAGGGATGGCAGTGAATAAATATTAAAGAGGCCGGAGTTAAATTAATATGATTTGAATAAGAATGTAGATACTGGACTGATTTTAATTAAAGTCACCAAAACGCATCCTGACTGAGGAAGTGTGAGAATTCTTTAGTTTTGCTGCTACTGAGAGAACATACTGTCTGAAGTACAAAGTGAAACATTTCAGTATAACTTCCCTGTTGGCACTGTACTGTAGATCCTGCTTCGTTTGCTGCCCTTCTTTCCAGTCGCATCAGCCACATATAACAGCTCTGAAGACAAGTCTGAGTGCCAGCTTGGATATTTCCCCTGTGGGAACTTAACCACATGCCTCCCTCAACTGCTGCACTGCAATGGAGAGGACGACTGCGGCAATCAAGCCGATGAAGACGACTGTGGTGAGACGCCCGCTGATCCCCCATGGTCTCTTACACTAGTGATGGACAAAATGACGCTTCATGAACCATTTGCTGTATTTTCTCCGCCCACTAGATGGTGCTCTCTGCTCAAAAAAGGGCACAAAGCATGCCCCAAAGCAAACCAAGAGCACCATCTAGTGGGTTCAAAAAATACAGCAAATGGTTCATGAGGCCTCCTTTTGCCCCCACCCCCTAGTTTAGTGATTGTTTGTAGCCAAAAGGGAGCTACCAAAACCTGCGGAAAAAACACAAATACGTGGTTTGAGTAATGGTAAGCACTGTCGCTGGGAACATTAGACAGGACCATGTGACACAGTGGTGGGTGAAAGACACAAGGACGGTGGGAAAATGCTAGGGGGTGGGGTTAAACAGGAGGAGTGGGAGCAGTGTTAAATAAGAGGGTGGGGGCAGGGTAACAGAGATGAACGGAAGCAAAATCGGGCTTCAGCATGGGAGGATGCAAAATACTCAAAAATTGGTCTATAGAATGTTTTACAGTTGTAGATCAGGGCATGAGAAAAAATAAAATTACGTGTTATACAAAGATTGGGGGGCGGTGCATCTGTGATCGCAGGGTCGGTAGAGTGATGTCATCGTTGGTCCCTGAGCAAGGCCCTCAAACTCGGTCGCTGCAGGGATTGCATGACCCTGCTTTCGGAAAAATGCATGTTGCTTTGGGTAAAAGTCGGCTAAATAAATAAAATGTAAAACTCAGCATGAAATGAATGACTACGCCCATTACCTAACATCACACTTTAGGATAGTCACCCCTACATATAACCCTGGACTTTTTGGGGGCTGGGGTAAGAACAGATACGTCCCCTATTACAAAATCATACTGACCCCCCCACGGTGACATTCAGGGTCTGATCAGGTTTCCTACAAAGCAAACTAATGTCAGTAACATGAAAATGAGTTTGTTGCTGTGATTAGACAGGTGGAACCTGAGAGCAGGACTCATTAGTGGCATGATGTCAATTAAAAAATCATTATTGTAATAGAAATGTCATAATTTGCATAATTACCACAAAGGCAAGCTACCCATAAGGGAAGCAGAGAAAGGAATTTGGTGCAATGCCTTCCAACGCTCATCAAAGTCTCCATCTATCAAACGCTTCCTGTTGTGCTGGTATTTATAGGGCTAAATGCTTTGTGATGATTTGGAAGCCGTCAGATTAATGAGAGTGAGACTTCATCTTTGTGTTGAGTGCAACTGGATGTTCACAAATGCAGCAGGAAAATGAGATTCGTGTCAGGTGTCCGTAAGAGTGCACGACAAAATGTCATGGAGATACGAAATGATGAAGACTGCTTAAAATCTGCCAGGTACAGACACGTACAAAGATAATCAGTGGGAATGCCGTAAATGCTAATCCCTGCTGGTAAGGAGACATTTGCATCTGAAGTAAGTCGAATGAGATGAGAGAAGGTGATAATTTATTGGCAGATTTCTCCAAAAATTTGCTTTTCTTCACAAGCAGCTCTGATCCCTGAAGAAAGAAACACATAAATGGCATCCGTACGTCATCGTACATAAACTGCACCGGCCCAGATGTTGCACTTTGACTATGAAGCCCGGTGTTGATCCACCGCGGGTCTGATCGCTCTTGTCCCCTGCTGTCTCGGTCGGGAGGGATGACGTAAAGGAATTACGATGCAGCAAAGGTCATTAGTGTTGGGACAGCGCTGGAGGGCATTTCAGAGTCTTAATATTTAATGCTAATCACCAATTTCTGATGAAATGTCCTTTTTTTGCCAGTCTGGAGTTCTGTGTCTTCGTCTAGCTAACATCATCCCTTGGTTTTGAATAATATGGTCTGGAGGGATACCAAGCCAGGCCCAGACACACGGTGCAGGTGGGAGACAACTCCATAACAAGGAGAAAACACAAAAATATAATGCTCATATTCAATTACCCTATTTAGTGAATTTGAGAAAGCACTTCTGTACACAGTGTGTAGTCAGAGCAGTGGTTCCCAAACTTTTCTCTGCAGGGCCCCCCTTTTATAGACATTATTGAGCCCCCCCCCCCCCCCATTCAAACTACACAGGTTCAGATTCAAACTTTATTTGAAATACAACTCCCTTTTCTAATTGAGCGAAACAAATGCAATTACAAAATACAAATGGTGCAATTTCTCCTCTGTGGGAGAAAAAAGAGCAATCAATTAAAAATAAAAGTCCAGCATAAGTTTGAAGTTATGCAAATGCAGATTTAACATCTGTTAATATTCTCTGGCGTTCACAAATTAAAGTTTGTCTTACGATTACCGCATTTTGTTTTTAATGATAACCGCAGGTTTCAGCCTATACTATAGCACAAGACAACACTAAATCATACCCATTAACTGATAGTCTCCCTGCACTTCATGTAGAAAATTTTAAACCTCGTTTTTCATGATATGGTTAGATTTTTTGTCCGGCGCTGCAAAACGTCGTCACGCGTCACCATGTCACATGGTACAAAAACCTTGCAAAAGAAAGACGACTTAAGACAGATCGTACAGCGCCTCTCAGCCGGCTGAACAAACTGTACATAACGTTTGTACGACGTTTGTATCCCAGGAAGTTTCGATGTGTTATCTGCTATTTCTCCCGAATATCACGTAAAGCAGTGAGAACTGGTTTTTAGTTAATTTACCTGGTAAAATAAAGTTTAAATAAATGACGTAAATGCTCTAATAGTACACGTAAGTTAGTGGTTTATATATTGTAGTTACTGTAGTGTTGCGTTGCTTTATTGGTTTAATCGTCCAGTCTGTGAAGAGATTATTTTAGGGTGGCACATGCCCCTGAGGCTATCCCATTGGTGCGCCCCCCCCGCAATACCTCTGCGCCCCCCAGTTTGGGAACCACTGAATTAGAGTATGGAATAGTCTTCCTGTTAGTGTAGCAGAAGCTAAAACCCTGGGTTCCTTTAAATCGGAGCTAGATAAGATTCCAACAACTCCCTATTAGTTAAGTTCTCCCCAAAAGAGCTTGTTGGGCCAAATGGCCTCCTCTCGTTTGTACATTTCCTATGTTCTTATATACGAACTGGGGTGTATCCTAGTATCCTAATCTGCCTGTCTTAGCACCCCCATTCCTGACCAGGATAAACATTTGGATGGATGGAATTATGGATGGATGTATGGATGTATGGAGGAGAAGTAAAGTTGTAATTTGAAGAACCAACATTTTTGAAAGTGTTAGAATAGAAATGGGGGGGGGGCATGTTCTCCCATCTGTGAAGGTGAAAGGATGATTGATTTGAATGACCCTCTGAAATTACATTTTAAAACATGGAAACAATTTCCCAAGCATACGCATATTATGGGAATAAGTAGCCAATTGCATAATTTTAATAGCTAGCTAACTACAGCTGTACGTCACTCATCTTCATTTTATGCTGCATAAATATATCCCATCTTTAATGAATGAATTAAATGAATGAATGAATTAATATAGCCTATTTTGTGCTGATCACCGCCGCTTGGGATACAAATCTGCAGCCTGCCACCCGAACACAATTTGCTCCACTTAATAAGCTCTCATTGTGGAAAATGTCTTGCATATTGGGCCTGATATCGATGAGCATTAGAGCGATATGAGTAAATACGCAGTGTAGCAAGCGCTTATCCTGGGACATTATACTGCAACCCCTGGACAAAAGACCTTATTGAGGATGTGTGGGTGAGATTTCTTCTTAAACTCTTCCTGAACAACAGTTCAGTTGTATTATTAGTGTTCTTTAATGGCAAAATGTAGCTATATAATATTTTGATATATGCGTGTACTTCATATTGCATGCAATTTGAATAAGAATTCAATTTACAATTTATTTTTTTAGGTGATAACAATGGATGGCCTCATCTATTCGACAAATATTTTGGGAACCTTAATAACAAGTCTGGTAACAAGTCAATCAAATGCTGTAAGTATGGTTGCAAATGTTTACCACCAGCACCACATACTGTAAGACATAGTATGTAAACAAAATTGCACAGACGAGGGCTCTATAAAGCTGCCCCAGCAGACTGGCGACTGTGTAGCTTTTGCTAACTTCAGTACTTAAATAGATTAGTTCCCCAGTCGGTCATTGTGTGTCTGTAGCTGTAGTTGTCCTGTGTTTGCTGCTGTTTGCCATGTTTGTTCCTGTGTTGCTCCCTGCCTTTGTTTTGGTCACTTACCTGCTTTGTTTCCTTTTTTTTTTTTTTTTAAGCAAAAATAATGTCCCTTCTTTGCAGGAGCTGCAATGTGCATCATCTCTTCCTGCCTGTCTATAACAGCATCAGTCTCGGGTCTAATCAGGCCTTGATAATTATTCTCTGTGGAGGGCCAAATCTTCACCATGTTAATAAGGCTCATTTTTTTAATGATTATTTGCATGTCCTACATACTGAACAAAATGTTCTTTTGTTGAGAAAGCTCATCTTTGTGTGACAGTATATAAGTAGCAATTGTATTTGCAATTATTCATGGGACTTGAACATTTTATTATCAGTTTATTTTAATAATCACATGGGCTAGTAAAAATAGCTCCACCGGTTTGGTCTAAAACCTTCCTCCGTGTCTCCAAGTGCTCGGGGTGGTTCCAAACCCCTGTCTCTGCAGAGACCTGGAACTGGACTGCGATGACGCCCGTCTGCGCACCGTCCCATCAGCATCGGTGAACATCACTATGCTGTGAGTTTCACGCTGCCCTGCCGTCTTCCTGGGATGGTGCTTTAAACAGGCACTGAATATAATGCCCTGTGTTGTCCTCAGGTCCCTTCAGCATAACAGACTGAGGAAGCTGAATGCCGACATATTCTTAAAATATCAGAACCTTCAGAAACTGTAAGTTCCTAAAAAAGAGCCAGTAAATTTGTATAGTACTGGGGTCGTCACCATGACGAATTCTGATGGACATTTTGATCAAAAATGCTGTTTCTATCATGGACAGTGTATATAAAAACCTTACCTATGTAGTTTTCCCATAATCAACACACTTTCCACAGTCATGTTTCTCCAGGGATTTACACGTCGACAATTTCTGGTATAAAGTATGAGATATAAGTTGTTTTATTTTCCACTGCATTATCAAGTAAATAAAATAATCATGACTCTCTTTGGAAATCTAGAGATAATAATATGAAGGCACTAACCTGCTGGTTTTACACCGTAAATTCATTACATTTTCTTCCCAGATGTTTGAACTATATCTTTGGGTAAGGAAATGTTTCAGGTTGCTGTTGGGGTAGCTGTGATGACCGTGTGCAAGGCGAGCGAACGGGGAGCAGGGAAGTAGGGTCAGGCACACGGAGACCCAAAACAAGGGGGTTTATTGCTGGCAGAACAACACAGTAAAAACGTCTATGACAGACCTGGGGAAACAGACTTGAACGCGGACTGAAATACACAAGACAAGCCGAAATGACAGGAAACAGCTGGTCACAATCGGGATGCACACGAGGGTAACGAGGTGGGCGTGGCACATGAGACAGCTGGACGGAGGGATGTGACAGTAGGATCTATGCCATGAACCTAAGTGTTTATTGTGTACCAAGTGTATGTCTGCCTGATGGAGACAAATGCAGCTTTTACTATGAATGATTTTCACACATAAATGAATTTGAATGTTGCTGCCTAAAACGGACATATATTGCTGAAATATTGTTATTATTCATACATACAGATATCTGCAGCACAACAGAATTCGAGCTGTGCACCCGAACGCATTCAGGGGACTTTATTATCTAACAAGACTGTGAGTCTTCATTCATTATTCTACTTCCTTGCAAATATAGTCGCTGTAAAACTAATTTATTTGAACTGAAATTGATGAATAAAGTAATTTATGCATTTTTAAGCTCGTAATTATGATATGCATTTAAAAGACCATTTCTGTATCAGATCTTGGAAGTGATTTCTTTTCATTTCGATGTGCAGCTTAAATTACACCCATGATTCAGTAATATTGCTTAAACTGCCCACTTCCAAGGTGACCACAAACCTCCTAAGATCAGAGCTCCTTGAATATTAGTTAAGTGCGTCCTGAAGCTTCCTTGATATTTGTTTTTAGCTTATCCTGATTCTTGGTTAAAAGTCTGAAAAGTTTGAAAATGATTATGTATCATTATTCACCCCTATGATAGCAGTTTGGATAGTCCGTCACCCTAAGCTGGGCGAGCAGTCTGGAGATGTGTACAGGAATGGATGTTTTCAATGTAATCAGATGATGGATATCCTTGACTTTATTGTCTGTTTTAGACTATGCGGCTTGTTGCAATAAAATGGATTAAAATGCATTTATTCATTCCATTTTCTTTTTCTTCAGGTATTTGAGTTACAATAAAATATCTACTCTCAAGCCAGGCACTTTCAGGGACCTTCAGAAGCTGGAATGGTTGTAAGTCCTCCAAAGCATTTCTTGTGGATATTTGCTGATTTCATTGATTGTTTTGTTTATACTTATTAAACATATGGAAGATAGAGAATAAGGAAGAAGCCACCTACAAAGGTCACATCACATGACCCGGCCACCTGACCTAAACATAGCAGAAATGGTATTGGAGGAGTTTGGCCGGAGAATAAAGCAGAGAGCAAGGGTGCCGTGAGAGCTCAGCATGTATGTGGGAACTCCGTCAGGACGGCTGAAAAAGCATCCCATGCAGGAGACCTCAAGAGGGTGAACTTTGACCGCCGTGCGGTGTGACGCATTGTCGCGTGAAAGAAGGCACTGAACCGGGCACAGAAATCGAGATGGAGAAGAAACTTTAATCGTTCATGTCTGAGTTCCCAGAGCTGTATGAGCCGAGCCAACAACGAAATGACAGCAGCGCATTGAGCGCAAACTCTGGTTTTTTTTTGTTGTTTTTTTTTTTGAATGGATGTTTTTTTTGCCGTGTTCGTTCTGAAAGCCGCCTTAGATTTTGGTAACTGCTGCAAACGCAGATTGGCTTTAATACCCACCCGGCTTGCCGATTTTTATTATGCTATCTTGGTTGTGTCTGTCTTCCGCACCAGTGTTTTTACAGGTTTTGATTAGGAACTTGCGAGAGGCATCTTACTGCTGGAGCTAATTTAAGATCCGGTGTTCTGTTCTTCTGGATGAGGAGCGTTCAGCCAGTGTTAGCTCACTTGTCACTCACCGGGCTATTAGTGGGAGGGAATCCAAACTAAAACCATGTGTTTATCTCTAAGTCTCCTTCAGGTGTCTTCAACCATGAGTGTTAGCTTATCGGTGGCGGTTCGTTCCAGGGCTCTGTAGCTATGAACAGCAGCTGTCATGAGACCGTTGGACCACCATTTCATCACAGCTCCTTTACTTCATGCTGCCGGAGTTGTGGTTGAGGAGACCTGATATACAAGCTCAGTGAGATGAAGGGCACAACGATTTGCAAAATGATGCTCTTTCACTTCACTGCTATTGACGGCTGCTGGAGACGGTTCAGGAAGGAGTTACCATAGGACTGTCCTGGCCCTCTGCTGTGGGAGATAATCGCATGCCAGAGTTCAGGATCTGCTCTGCTGTCTCTCTGATTCTCTTAAGCTGTGAGCTGCAGATTTTCTCCATAGTCTTTCACGTTGCTGCCTTCTTTGAAGTTACTGAGCTGCTGCACAATCTTCAGTTTCGAATGGTCTAGCATCGATTGTGATGCACTATGGGATTTCATTGTAGATTTTCAGAGTGCAAGGCTCATGAATTGTCTGTAAGTCTGACTATGACTAAGATGTGTGTTAAGAAGGCTTTTTTTTATTAATTAGCCGATGATAGAAGGGCCTCAAAATTTAGGAAACTGGGTTTTTTTTTCTTTCATTTAAGCTTCACGTCTAGCTATTTAAGGAACCTTACAGAAAATCAATGGCTTCATCTTACCAGTTTCACTAAGGTTGTCTTTGTAGGCACCATTGTCCAGTTTTTCTACATTCTACAATACATTAATTTTGGGCGTAAGAAATAAATTAAAGTTTTGGTCTAAATGGCAAAATGACAAAAATTGTGCTAAGAAATGGCTATCAGAGAAGTGCAGTGTTTTTCATGTCACTGAGAAACCACAGATACAAAAGATATATTTTTTTTTTGTTGCAAGATTAGAGAAAGTTTCTTAAGGACAGGAATAGCTAGTTTTCCGTGTACAACTGTGGCTGTTCGCAAGAAATCTCTTTCTTGGTTCCATAAAGCATGAAATGTGTAAATGCAGTCTGATTTTTTTGATTGACGTTTCTCTTACACAAATACGCTCTGTGTCTGGTCATAGCTACACTGGTAGTCTTACCACTAGTCAGTGCCCCTCTTTGATTCATGTAGCCTTGCTGCTAGTTCATACTTTGCTTTTTCACCATGGAGTGTCTTTGCAACGCTAAAATAACTAAAGACACAACAGCTATTTGGGTATTTCTGTCCCAGTTGCAGGGAGCCCAGAGCCATTTTGTGTTCATCAGAACATGTGTGTTTTAAATTTGCATCCACCGCATGATAAATATTCCCAGATGTAAACATTGACGTGATTGTTGGTTTGTGTCCAATGGGCTGCCTGAATATTAATGAGAAAATGATTACTGATTATGATTACTGATTACTTTGATAAAGGACTCCTCTGGTGAGGCTGGACTGAAATTCATGCCAAAACCAGTGCTTTTATTACTGAATAACCAGTAATTCACCCATGTGATGTTGTTCATCATTGTGTTTGACATTACAGGATACTGGAAAACAACAAAATCAGTCAGATTTCACCCATGGCTTTCTCGGGATTAAACTCACTGGTCCTTTTGTAAGTTTTACCAGTATTTTTATGAAGCAATACATTACTAAATAATAAATGGGGTTTATATAATAAGTAGGGGTGAATGATTTTTTGTGTGTTTTTTAGGGTGTTGCTGAATAATGCCCTAGTACATCTGGATGACATCTGTCAGGGGATGCCCAGACTGAACTGGCTGTAAGTTAAATTTTGAAAATTACTGCACATCTGAGCCTTATCTTAGTATAAGAGGACAGATGCAACGTGACATCAATGAAAGTCGTAGTGGACAAAATGAAACTTCTTGAACCATATGCTGTAATTTTTGACTCCACTAGATGGCGCTCTTGGTTTTCTTTTAGGCATGCTCTGTGCCCTTAATATGAACAAAGTACACCACCTAGTGTAGTCAGAAATACAGCAAATGGTTCATGAAGCTTCATTTTGTGCGTCATTAGAAGGTAGCTACGTAAATGATTGCAAAGCCCATCCTGTGATTTCAAAGCATGTGAATTCACATCAAATCTCTGCATTTCAGTGATTTGGAAGGTAATCGTATAGAGAGCGTTGGGAACGTGTCACTCTGCTCCTGCCACATGCTGACCGTGCTGTAAGTCTGCGCTTCTCATCTTAACGAAACATATAATCAACCCGGCAAATCCATAAGTAATTAGTTTCATTCGGACAACAGTAAAGGACAGTTAACTTAATAAATGACGACATGTGTGTTTCATAGTGTCCTGCAACGTAACAGAATCTCCCGTTTAGATGAAGGAGCCTTCTTATCGCTGCAGAAGCTTGGGGAACTGTGAGTCATCATTTTCCTTGGTGCCTTTACATTCATTGTTGTATTTACTACAATCGTAAGTATGGTTATGCATAGCCTGGTGTGAGATGTGGAGGGTTAGCATGCTAAGCCTGTCATCAGAAGGTGTCCAGCTTAAATGTCGGCAGAGAGATGTCACCATTGAGCCCTTGAGTGAGACCCTTAACCCCTAATAGCTCCGGGGACTGTCTGACCTACTTTCTCAAAAAGTATTCATTGCTTTAGATAAAACCATCTGATAAATACAATGGAATAATACATGTACAAAATTAATCAGAGCTGGTAATGTAACACTGTTGTTTTCTTTAAAAGGGATGTTGATATGGTTGTTGTTTGAGAGAGATTCGTATTTTCTCCCATATTTTCTCAGAGATTTGTCCAGCAACAGAATTGAAAATATCCCTAGAAAGCAGTTTGTCAGTCTCACTGATCTTCTCCAACTGTAAGTCTCTCCAGAAACATGTTTCTATGAAGTTCTAAATGATTGAATTCAGTTGTTATGCTGGTGCATTTCAAAGATATTGGATTTCAAAATGTAGTTCTTCCCCCGAAGCCTGTTAGCTAACTGCGCCCTTATATGGTCTCCCGAGTTACAACTGTTGGTCAGTTTTTGTGCTTATATTGTTTAGAAACATTTCATACAACCCCATTGTCGAGTTACAACTGGACCACTTTGCAAACCTGAAGCAGCTGAAATCCCTGTAAGTCGTGTTTTTCTATTATTAACTTTTAGTGGTCAGTGGATCATAAACTAAAATATAAAATTAACAATTTTGCAAAATGTGAATATACCCTTATTGATTGGTCAGAAATTCCTTTGTAAACTGATGACTTTTATGTAAAACTCCAGTACAGATGAATAGGTGATTGAAGTTGATGTTTCTGAGTTTAACGGGATTGAGTCCAGGATAAAATGTGCTGTCATGATTCCTAGGAGCATAGAAGGAATAGAGATTGGGAGCATACAGAGAAGAATGTTTGAACCTCTGAAAAGTCTGACTCACATGTGAGCATTTCTTTAATATTTGGCTTCTTTTGGTGACAGAATTATATAAAGATTGTAAAAAGAGATATAGAGTACTACAGTATATCATCGTAACGTACTAATCATAAAATATAACCAAAATCTGCTTATCAATGTTTGATTTTATCTCTTTTTTTCTACAACCTATTTTCTAAAATTAGTCTGCTAAAAGTTTTTTGCATAATTATAAATCAAATATGCTAATATATCAGGCTCCATATTTGATTAGGGCATTAATTATTAAAAGCCAATGGATTTTGTGATTACTGGGGGGTGCACTGCCTTTGTTTAAGGCAGTGCACCCTGTATAGCCTGAGGATTTTTAAGTGCCTAGTCTCCTCCTCCTCCACCCCCGGTTCAGATACTTTAAGAAGTTCCAGTACTGTGGTTACGCCCCTCACGTGCGAAGCTGCAAGCCCAACACGGACGGCATCTCCTCCTTCGAAGACTTGCTGGCCAACATCGTGCTGCGGGTGTTTGTCTGGGTCGTGTCCTGCGTCACCTGCTTCGGCAACGTCTTCGTCATCTGCATGCGGTCGTACATACGATCAGAGAATAAGCTACATGCTCTTTGTATCATATCCCTTTGCTGTAAGTGGTCCTGCTCATCGGCTTGTTTATTCATTGGTTTGTTTACTACCGTATTTTCTAAATATGGATTATTTTGTCAGGTCACGCACTTATAAAATTGATATTCATCAATATTGTGTTTTTCCTGGTTGCCCATAGACTCTTACAGAATTGTATGCAAAATTCAAGGAAAAATACAAATGTAAGAAAATCAAAACATAATATAAATGCTTTATTCTAAGCTTATCAAATATAAACAATGTCTCAGACAGCATTCCTGATGCCCCTGATTCAAAATATATCATTTACTTGCATCATCAATGGTCTATATCAGGGGTTCTCAAACTTTTTGAGCAGATATTTGTTCAAAGTCACAGGTCTGAAACTTTAATGAATTAATGACTTTCTGTAGAGACATCAGCATATATAGCAATGATGGGAACTCAACATAAAGACTGATTTGATGCTCGCTGATTGTTTTGACTGTATTTTATGACGTGTTATGCATGTCCGAAGTTTGGTGGTTCTGCATTGTATTTTTGTAGTTCAAACCACGTCAAGCCTTTTTACGTTAACCATACTGATGCATAAGGTGAATTATTGGCTGGGTCTGAATTCACCTACAGTTTCAGAACCCCTGGACTATAAGATTGTATTTGAGTGACAGAAATCAATTAAGAATATGCTGGTTTTCAAATTCAGGCATAAGAGGCAGATATAGTGACTTTTTGTTGCAAATCCCATGTAACTTTTGATACAGAGAGACTATGACAGAGTTGGCCATCCTGCGAACGCGTCCGCTTTGCCGTCTAGGTGCTGATGGCTTGATGGGCGTGTACCTCTTCGTGATTGGTGCATACGATATTAAGTTCCGGGGCGAGTACAATCGGCACGCCCAGGCCTGGATGGACAGCCTGCAGTGCCAGGTGGTGGGTTCGCTGGCTATGCTGTCCACTGAGGTCTCTGTCCTTCTCCTCACCTACCTGACCCTGGAGAAGCACATCTGCATCGTCTACCCGTTCCGTTACCTCGCCCCGGGCCGGGGGCGGACGGTGAGCATCCTCGTCCTCATCTGGATCCTGGGCTTCGTCATTGCCTTCACGCCGCTGGCGGGCAAGCACTTCTTCCGGAACTTCTACGGCACTAACGGTGTGTGCTTTCCCCTGCATTCAGAGCAGCCAGAAAGCACTGAGGCTCAGATCTACTCCATTGCCATCTTCCTTGGTGAGTGCTGCAGTGGGGGGCTGCATGTTAGCTGAATAACGGAGGGTTAGGGCTTCCTCTGCTGCCCCCTGGAGGACGGGCTCCCCCTTTGGGTCTGGTTCCTTGCAAGGTTTCTTCCTTCTAGGGAGTTTT